TTACATAATCATATATTATTAATTTTTTATTTTTATTTTTTTTTTTACAGTTTTTTTTGTTTTAAAAGAAAATTATTTTATGAATATGTACCATTTTTAGGCACTTGACATTCAAATGATTTTTATTAAACCGTACTAAACAAAATAGTCATTTCCTATTATTTTATATATTGTTGTTACACAATTTTGCCTTTTGCATGGAGTTTCTTAACTATTTGAAACCGTTTGAATTACTCGAGTCAAAGAACAGGTTTGTCACTATCTTCTGAGGATCATCCGCGTGTCTCTGTTGTATGTGTAGGTTCTGACTCTGTGTAGGCCGGTGGACTCTCGTTTGGAGCATGTGGACTTTGAGAGTTTGCTGCAGTGGCTCAGTGTGACCAGACTCCTGCAGGTCTTCGCTTCTCTGCTGCTGGAGAGGAGAGTGATCTTCATCGCAGACAAACTCGGGTACAGACCACCACCCATGCTGATACCCACATAGAGCTACGGCTAGAATTAAATTCAAACCTAACTCTGTTTGTCTCTGGCCAGTGTCTTATCCCGATGTGCCCATTCTGCCTTGGCGTTGCTGTATCCCTTCACGTGGCAGCACACGTTCGTACCGGTGCTTCCTGCCAACATGCTGGACATATGCTGCTCTCCCACTCCTTTTGTAATGGGGGCGCTGTCTCCATCTTTGCCTGAGGTGCTGGATATGCCCATTGAGGAGGTCAGTCACTTTGAAGGAGCCTATTTAAGTCCACTTAAAATTCTAATCAAGGCTTTTTCCACCAAAATTGGTAGTAATTAATTTTTTAGTAATAATTTCAAACATCTTTCTGACCTGTAGACCTTAGTCAGGGTAGTGCCATATTTAATATTTTACAGGAATTAAATTGAGGCTGTGAGGGATAGAAATACAGTGGGTTCAATGGATTGTACTTTTGTTTAGCAACTAATGTATCTAATGTAACTAATGTTTAGCATCTGATGAAACATCTTTCCGAAAATAACTTTCAACTGAACGTGTTCCAGGACCTTTATACAGTGGGTATCATTGTAAAGACTGTATGTCTTATCCCTCACAGCCTCGTTTTCATCTGCATTAAATTCAATAAGCTGACTAAGATCCACAGAATAAAGATCTTTATGTACATGATTTAATAAACACTGAGTAATATTGATGTATGATGTATTGGTGGTCATGTGTGAATGTGTTAAAGATTTCCAGAGATTTTCTCAGATTAGTTTTAATAATTTGACTGGGTTATGAACAATAGAGTGTTTTATTTCAAAACAATCCAGTTTTATATGATGCACAAAACCTTTCAGTCTTACTTAAGAAT